CAGGCGAGCTGCTGCAACCCCTTATGGAGAGGCACTTCTAAATATGCATGTGTGCAGCTATGTATGGAGAAGACTGGGACACGGGTGGCACTGTGGTCTAAACCACTGAGCGTCTTGGGCTTGCCGATCAGAAAGTGGGAGGTTCGAATCCCTGTGACGGGGTGAGCTCCCGTTGCTCTGTCCCAGCTCCTGCCAACCTAGCAGTCCGAAAGCACACCAGTGCAAGTAGATAAATAGCTACCACTGCGGCGGGAAGGTAAACAGCATTTCCGTGCGCTCTGGTACTCGTCAGGGTGTTCTGTTGTGCCAGAATCGTCCTGCTGGCCAATCCTGCTGGCCACATGACCCGGAAAGCTGCCTGCGGACAAACGCTGGCTCCCTCAGCCTGAAAGCGAGATGAGCGCTGCAACCCCATAGTCGCCTTTGACTGGACTTAATTGTCCAGGGGTCCTTTACCTTTTTTTTAAATGGAGAAAACTTTTTCTCTACATGAATCTCCTTCACTGGGCTAAGAGCCAAGCAAATGTTAGTTGCCTCTTAGTATTTAAAGGGCAGGGTTTTTTTTGGTATTATTATTAATTTTTAAACACAAACAGCATAAAGAGGGAGATTGCTGCCAGTAATCACAAAGGACATGGAGATGGAATGTAACTCCTTCGTTCGCTGTGATTTTGGGGGAAATCCTTCATCTGAAGGTGCTATCTGTATTGTGAGGAAACCCCCCAATGACACCACTTAAAACCATGCTAATTTGGCTATACGAATTACATATCGCAAGATTTGTTTGCCCAGCTCTACAATGATTTTGTCCAGACAAGTGTAATTTAATGCAACTTGATTTTTTATTTACTTAATCACATCTGTGGTTAGTAACAGGCATTGTTGTTAATTCAAAATAAGATGAATCTGTGTGGATAATATCACAGTTATTTCTACTGATTGCAACTCTCTCGTAATATTGATTTTTTTTTAAAAAAAAGTTTAACCATCTATACCCTGCTCAAAAAATCAACTCTGATCAAACATCCAGTGACACTTAAAATGATTGCGCGAAGCTCTCCACATGCGATAGCTCTCTGCCATCAATAGATTTTCTTAGACTTCTTTAATTTGCATTTCTAAATAATATATTTCAAAAAAGAAGAAGCAATGCTTTAGTGCAATAGTATGTAAAAGCAGACTTATCAGTATTAAAAGGGGAAGGGGGAAGATTGCATATAAAACAAAATACAATTGTCAGGCACTAGTAGGTTTACTGCTGGTTTACGTTTGCGATTGTAAAGTGGAATGGAGGATTTGAAAATAAGGTGCAAGAGGAATGCAGTTTCATTTCTGAAGATGTCCAGATTTTGGTTGAAAAGCGTAACATTTGCAGGAAATTCAAATGCGGTATCATTGTGAAGTCCACTACATACTTCAAGATGCAAAAGATTGCAGATGTATCTCCGCAACGGTATTAACATTGAGCCTGAACAGAGGAAAATCCCTGGTGGGTTGTGTTCATTGCCATTTATATCTCATTTCACACAATACACAAAACAACACGCGCAACAAAATGTAACATCTTTTGACATCACCCGCGGAAAAAGCAAACATTCCACCTACTTTTAAAGAACCACATATTTCCATCTGAAGACAAATCTTACACATCACAGTGAACGTTCAAAATCTAGGAACTTTCAAAAACGGCAAGGGCGTGTTGACAATCCCTCATGCGTTTGGCTCACGTCCAAAAATATGAAGATGGTCTAAATTCACTAGACTACTACTTAATGGCCCTTATCAGCATTCACAGGGGTCAGTCCATCCTGTTGGACATTTGCCACATGTGTGGAGGTCATCATTTCCTCGTGTTTTCCAACAATCTGCATATTTGGGACGATGGCCAATGCAGCTACGCATACTCAAGTCCCACGAAAATCAAGGGGGTTAAGGTACATGTCATTTTGTGCTGGAATGTGGCCATCTCCTGTACACACACACACACATAAAAAAATAAGTTTTCAAAATACCCTTGCTTGTCATCTGGTGCAGGTGTAGAATGAATATATATATATATTTCCAGAATGGTTCATGTGTACTACTTAAGTGTGTTCTTCGTTAGTCTAGTTTGTATCGACTAGCTTCTGTTTTCCCCCATTATGTGCTCTCTTTCCTTTTATCAGATTATATTGCAACATGGCGATCTGTCCCTCACATTGCACTCAGCGATACAGTAGTTGGGTCCATATATATATGAATCTGTTTCATTATCTATTTCCACGATTACAGTCCTACCTCTCCCTTTTGCCATTTCGACGTAGTAGATTGCATTAAGCAAATAGCATCTTTTAATAAAAACAACAACAGTTCTCTCTTAACATAGAACAAAATAATAATAATAATATATATATATATATGCGTATATACATTCATTACTGAATCAGCATACTTGGAACAAAGGAAGTCAAATAAACTAGGGAACATATGTAGACATTGCTAAGCTTACACATAAAACCAGTTTGTTTTCATGATCATGCCTCACCTCTTAAATATCGCCTGGTCCAACATGTGGTAGCTCTCCTGTGGAACGTGAACAAAAGGAGTACAACTTTCCCAATTGATAGGTGTGCCCAGGGACAGCATCCCTCCCCCGTCTAAATAATCCTAAGGAGTCAAAATATACAAGAGCAAGATCTTATTCCCACTGTACAGGGTGCTTCATCCTAAACCAACCAGTGCAGTCTGCCTAAGGTTCAAGGGAACCATAGGCCTGGGGGTCTGAATGCGGTCCTTCAAGCTTTCCGCCAGGACACACCCCTCTCAAGTGCTTTTGGCCTGAATGGAATGAGGCCTTGTTCTCATTCCATCATGCTTGTCTGGATGGTGGGCTGAGAGGGTGAGTATGTGTACTGAGGTAAACTTTACATATATATTTTTTTGCTCCACTCACTTTTGCATATGGAAGGTAGCTGAAAAGGGGTTCCCCACCCGTCCCTTCAGGTAAGACATGTATCTTGCTGATGTCCATGGGTTTATGTGCAAAAAATGTCATCTCACCAAGCCAAGACACCATTTTCCATAGAGGGGGAGATCCATGGAATAGATGCTTATTACATCATCTGCCATTACATTCAGCTAATATACCAGGGCTGCAATGCTATACCTGCTTAAGTGCTACTGCACTCAATGGGACTTACTTCTGAGTAGACACGTCTAGACTTGCACTGTTGCTGTAGGAATGCTAGATATTTTTTCTCCCCTGAGCAGAACAGGGGCGGATCAAATGAAATTCTCAAGAGTAATGAACTCAAAGACAATTATGGTGTTGATCATGTTAACAGCCCAACTATTCTGTCTCAGTAGTTACTAACAGTAAAGCAGCTAAGATTCAATTCTCACAGAATCATAGAGTTGGAAGGGAATCCAAAGTTCCTCAACACCCTGAAATGCCTATTTCCCATATTACTTTTCAATGTGGCAAAACCACCACATGGGAATCCTTTTTTTTTTAACCACCTCAATTTGTACAAGGTCAACACTAAAAAAAATTAAAATGTGTTGCATCCTGGTGGCTCAGTCGCATCAAATATTAACACGAGGAAACGAACTGAAGTACTTTATAGGGAGGGGAAATAGGTGGAAACTGCACAAACACAACTACAGGGAGAAAACACACACAGAGGAAACGGCTTTATACAGAATCAGACCACTGGTCCAACTCTTCAGTATTGCTAGCATCAGGGGCAATCCCTCATTAAATGAACCTGATTCTGCCACCTTCCAAAACCCTACCAGTTTGGGTCGTGGCATCAGCCAAAAGAAAATTAAAAAGTGCTGGGGTTGGAGGAGGAGAAGAAGAAGAGGAGGAGGAGGAGGGGGAGGAGTTTGGATTTGATATCCCGCTTTATCACTACCCTAAGGAGTCTCAAAGCGGCTAACATTCTCCTTTCCCTCCTTCCCCCACAACAAACACTCTGTGAGGTGAGTGGGGCTGAGAGACTTCAGAGAAGTGTGACTAGCCCAAGGTCACCCAGCAGCTGCATGTGGAGGAGCAGGGAAGTGAACCCGGTTCACCAGATTACGAGTCCACCGCTCTAAACCACTACACCACACTGGAGGAGCCCAGCGCCCTGATGAGGAAATGAATTGCCTTCTACCTGGTCATCAGAGCAGCCATCAGATGAGTAGAGAGGGAGCAATAAGATCAGCTGAAGAGGGGAGGTTGTGGGCCTGTGTGTCTCCTTGTATTTGTGCTGTGTGTGCCTACATTGACCGCTAGTGGCTCTCCAGGGTTTCAGACAGGATTGAACCCGGACAACATGTGCTCTCTGTCACTGAGCAACAGCCCTTCCCCACAGCTTACCACCCACAGTTCGCAGCTTAAAAAACAGCGAGCGGGGACACACACACACAAACACACACTTCATTAACTCACAAAGAAGGCAATACAAGCACACTCTCCCAGTCAGCAGTTCTGTGGACAAAAGGGCACAGCAAGCAAAGTGGAAGGCAGCTCTCGTCCTCTGCAGTGTAAACTCGCTTTTCCCAAGCAGCGCACGGCTAGGAAAAAACACTGGGGAACGCATTTGAATGAACTTAGCACTTAGGAGAGTTTTTCACCGACGAAAATCGTGCCTACAAGGCAGACCCCCCCCCAAAGGTTTAATAGCCTCCCCTTTTTTGTCCTGGGAGTAGAAGTTTCCTTAGGGGAAAATCTCTGAGAATTCTCAGCACCCTCACTGAACTACAATTCCCAGATTCTTTGGGTGGAAGTGAAACAGATATCAGCCTGATTCAATTTGTAGGGTAGTGCTGCTTTTAAACCGGTTCACTTAAATACATCTCCATCTGCAATTGATTGCAGCAATTTGAGATCGATAACCAATAGATGTGTGCAATAGAGGTTGGAATGGACTTCAAAATGCAGCAGTTGCCTTTAAATTACCTCATTTCCCATCTAAGTGTATGCAATTAGCCTTTTGTGGAAACCTAACTGTCCAAAAAAGAACCACTCCACCTTAGGTTACTGTTGCCCCTTGTTTATTGTGTAACAGCCCTGTTTTACTGATGTAACTACAAAAAAAAAAAGCATATAGAAACATAAAAGGCGGCTCAGACGATTTATGCAGTTTGGTTGACGTGGAGGACAGCGGCCTGGCTTGATTCTTCGTCGGAGTGCTCCATCTCCCCGCTGGTCGGCTTGCTCCTTTCATCGTAGAGTTCCTGCCTGATTTCGAGCGAAGCCCTATAGTCATCTCCTTCTTCAACGATGGCGAGCTCGATGTTGTTGTTGACCACTGCATCTCCTTCACTCCCGTTTTCTCTTTCCAGGGAGTCAGCAAAGGCTTTCCCTTCCTCCGCCAGAGAACTGGGAGAGGCCAGGTCGGAGTGAATCTCGGTGAAGGATGTCTCCTCATCGTTTGCAGTGTGCTCACTGCCGGTAGCCTCTGCCGGCTTGTCTTCCGTTTCTGCGGAGGGATCTCCATCCCGAACTTTCTTCACGTTGAACGTGAGGGGAGAGACCTTGAAAGATGAGCTTTTTGACGAGGAGGACTTTTGGTGGTTAGGGGTGAGGGACTTCTTAATCTTCTCCCTCCTCTCATGAGAGACGATCTTGGTGCTGAACTTGTTCATCTTCTTCTCGATATTTTGGCGGGAAAACGCTTTCTTCAGGCTGTCCACCTTCTTGAGGCTCGACCTCTTGATTTTCTCAGCTCTCGTCTCCCCAATTTTCTCATCCATGCTATCGTCTGCCCCCTCTTCATCATGGGGTGCTTCATCCTCTGAGGAAAGCTCTACAGTGTGCAAGGTTTCCTCCAAAGTTTTGTTCTCATCAACAGGCTCTTCCTTCCCGTCAGTAATACTGGGAACAGGCTCTTTCACAAACACGCTGGCCGGGATTTCGTTTTCTTCCTGCAAAGAGTTGACATTGTGTTTATTCAGTGTTCACATGGCACAGACTTGATAAACAAGGCACGGCCCTCAACAACATCAATATTTTTCTTTCGAATAAGGCGGTAAAGGAAGTTTGTTTTTTCTGCTGTTGCTGCCACAGTATATTTAACCAGTAACAATCACTCCCCGTGGAATTGTTCGGTTACGTGCTGTAAGAGTAATGGGCTTACGAGCTGTCAACTGCATTGTAGAAGAATTCATTTTGCTCCACGTTTAGGCCAGTGTAGATCTAACCTTGCCAATTTCTTAATGCAGTTGAGAGCAAGATGCAGGATGAATTCCTGTTTCCCCTTCACACACACCCTCCCTGATGGCCTTAACAGCAATATTAAAGATGGTTATGGCTAACTAGGGCTCCTGGTCACGTTTAACCCATAGTCTGAAATTGGCTCCAAACCACCGTTAAACAATTGGCAGCGGCGTATCTCCACTTGCCTCAGAAAAGCTAACCAGGAGATTGTTCTGAAAGTCCACTCCCCTTCCCGGGGGGCAGCACTGAGGGGAACCAAGACCTCCCAGTGACCCAGCTGTGGGTGGAGGGATGCCACCTGCTTCATAGGGACCCCTGGCCTCGTCACCCCCCTGGCTGACCAATCGGGGTAGCCGGGGGGCATGGCCGCTAGCCAGTTAAACAGCGGCGCGGCCGGGGGGGCAACCTCCTTGATGGATCTCCCAGCCCACCGACCCTCTTTTAATGCATTGCTTGACAGCGGCCTTGCTATGGACTAAGGTCAGCCACCATATTGTTGGGGCCAGGTCGGAATTTTTCCACTTGGCAAACTGGCACCAGCCATTTGGTTTTCGCCTACCTTGTAAGCCTTGTTTATGGGAGGGGAGGTTGTTGCCTCTGCCTGCCCCTCCTCGTTAAGGGTATCTGGGGGGCATGGTTCCTGTCCAAAGCCTGGGCATGGGCTAGGGCCTTAGCCCGACCCCATCAGGTACCCTGGGGGTGCCCCAATTTGATGCATATCATAGGGCTCCCCCTACCGGTGGTTTACCCTTATGAGACTCCCTGCAGATGGGCAGGAGTCAGGATATAGTTCGGTTTCACCCAATGCCTAAGCCAAACTGCTCACATCTGTAACCAATAAAGTTGTGGCCTATTTTATCCCATTAACCTCAACTTTACAGGCATAGGCAAACTCAGCCCTCCAGATGTTTTGGGACGACAACTCACATCATCCCTGACCACTGGTCCTGTTAGCTAGGGATGACGGGAGTTGTAGTCCCAAAACATCTGGAGGGCCAAGTTTGCCTATGCCTGACCTAAACATTCGTGTCCGTGTGTTTATTATCTAAGGGAACTGCGGGGCCCAGAGCTTTGCCATGCAATGCTCTTTACTCGTCATGAATCTGGGAGCTTCAAACATGCAAAGTATATGCTCTACCAATGTGCTGGTGCACACAAGACACTCGCACATCCTCCACTCATTTTTACTTGCTGCAAAACCAAGCCACAACATGGAACAACGGCGATGTTTTTGTTTGTGTCATGGGCCTTAGGGAAAACCAAGTGGGGAAGTGAAATTGGAACTGCCTCCAGTTACAAATCAGGCAGGCACCATCTCCTGTTGTCCTTTTGGCGCCTTTCAAAGACGGTCCTTCTCTGACATGCCTTTCAAGTGGAGATGTTTATCCCAGTTTGAGTATTGGACTCAAAACTGCTTTCACGCAAGTTTAATCGCTATTGTCCTCTTTATTGTCAAATCGCTTTGGGGTGTTTTAAGGTAATCCATTGGGACGCAGGTGGCGCTGTGGGTAAAAGCCTCAGCGCCTAGGGCTTGCTGATTGAAAGGTCGGCGGTTCGAATCCCCGCGGCGGGGTGCGCTCCCGTTGCTCGGTCCCAGCGCCTGCCAACCTAGCAGTTCGAAAGCACCTCCGAGTGCAAGTAGATAAATAGGGACCGCTTACCAGCGGGAAGGTAAACGGCGTTTCCGTGTGCTGCGCTGGCTCGCCAGAGCAGCGATGTCACGCTGGCCACGTGACCCGGAAGTGTCTCCGGACAGCGCTGGCCCCCGGCCTCTTGAGTGAGATGGGTGCACAACCCTAGAGTCTGTCAAGACTGGCTCGTACGGGCAGGGGTACCTTTACCTTTACCTTTAAGGTAATCCATTAAAAAAATAGTTCAATGACAAAGAATTATCAGAATTGTAGGTGCTTGTCGAGATTTGTACATAGAATTATGAGAGTTTTTATTTATTTATTTTTTAAATGCTCGGTCTGGAGCATTAACACCCCCCTGACAATAATATAAAGCAGGACTCATGAAGACGTATCCCAGGTTAATTGAGGATAGTTATTTATGGCTGAGGAGAAAGACGATGTTGCATGCAGGGCATGAGATCTGGCCTTGGGGATATGCACATTCTTCTGTGAAATTTGCTTTAGTTGTTGCAATAACTGTATTTCATAAAGGCGCTGGTTTAATGCCATCTGTGCCTTATGCCTCTTGTATCATTCCACCACCACCCCACTTTGTATATTAAATAAACCTTAAAAAATAAGGAGGGAAATATTCCATGGCCACCAGCTCCGTTGACACCAACCCCTCCTTTTTGACTATTTGATGCATCACACTAAGGCATACTGAAGAGCAGGTCCATTGAACTTAACAGGCTCAACTGTTTCAAGTTTGCTGATTTCAACAGGTACACTCTTAAATATGACAAAGTTGAACACAACCCTCAGTGCCCTAAACAATGAAAGTGGTCTTTCATTGCGCTCTACGCGGGGCTACCTTTGAAGGTGACCAGGAAACTACAACTAATCCAGAATGCGGCAGTTGACTGGTGACTGAGAGTGGCCGCCGAGACCATATAACACTGGTCCTGAAAGACCTACATTGGCTCCCAGTATGTTTCTGAGCACAATTCAAAGTGTTGGTGCAGATCATAAATGGCCTCGGCCCAGTATACCTGAAGGAGCATCTCCACCCCCATCATTCAGCCCGGACACAGAGGTCAAGCTCCGAGGGCCTTCTGGCAGTTCCGTCACTGTGAGAAGCGAAGTTACAGGGAACCAGACAGAGGGCCTTCTCGGTAGTGGCACCCGCCCTGTGGAACGCCTTCCCATCAGATGTCAAGGAAATAAACAACTATCTGACTTTTAGAAAACATCTGAAGGCAGGCCTGTTTAGGGAAGTTTTTAATGTTTGATGCTTTATTGTATTTTTAATATTCTGTTGGAAGCCGCCCCAAGTGGCTGGGGTAACCAGATGGGTGGGGTATGTAATAAACCAGATGGGTGGGGTATGTTTTCTGCTGCTCCAGAGAAGCGGACACGGAGCAATGGATCCAAACTACAAGGAAGAAGATTCCACCTAAACATTAGGAAGAACTTCCTGACAGTAAGAGCTGTTCGACAGTGGAATTTGCTGCCAAGGAGTGTGGTGGAGTCTCCGTCTTTGGAGGTCTTTAAGCAGAGGCTTGACAACCATATGTCAGGAGTGCTCTGATGGTGTTTCCTGCTTGGCAGGGGGTTGGACTCGATGGCCCTTGTGGTCTCTTCCAACTCTATGATTCTATGATTCTAAATTATTATTATCATTATTATTGCCAACAATCGTACCATGGCAAGGCATTATGAAATGCACAGAACACCTTTAAACAAATATTGGAAAGGATGTGATGGCTTGGCTGCCACAAAATGTCTATGATGGGTGTGATGAGTAATCAGTATGTAATGGCAGAGGATGGCTAAAGAAATACAAATCATCGCTCACCATCCCTTCATCCATCCTAGACTTTGTTCAATATTTTCACAATAACCTCTTGTGTGATGTACTGATGGCATATGACATGGGTAGGCAAACTAAGGCCCGGGGGCCGGATCTGGCCCAATCGCCTTCTAAATCTGGCCCACAGACAGTCCGGGAATCAGCATGTTTTTATAATGCTTTTATTTAAAATGCATCTCTGGGTTATTTCTGGGGCCTGCCTGGTGTTTTTACATGTGTAGAATGTGTGCTTTTACTTAAAATGCATCTCTGGGTTATTTGTGGGACACAGGAATTCGTTCATTTCCCCTCCACCCAAAAAATATAGTCCGGCCCCTCACAAGGTCTGAGGGATAGTGGACCGGCCCCCTGCAGAAAAAGTTTGCTGACCCCTGGCATATGAGCTTGTTTTCCAAAAGCAGCATGAAAAATATATAGGTAAGCTTTGAATGGTATATCCATGGTTCTGAGATGGAGGGGGCTTTCAAACTGTTGCTCTTTTCAGGTGGGATTCAGTCACACACCCAACAAATTCAGGTCTGCAATAAGTCGATCGGGAGGTCTTGTGCCAACAAACCAACTCCCCCCAAAAGATTGGACTTTTTGTGATAAGAAATGCGAAGGGAAAACGTACTGGAAAAGGTGAGGTTGTGCTTGCTTTGACGCAACATCATCTAACACCCCAGCTAGCAAACCAACATGAATACTCAATATAGGCATCGTTGTCTAATCTTTCTGCAAACGAATCAGGACGAACGCTCAACAAACAGGCTGCCTGGAAGCACCCTGATTGGCTATTCAGTGAGTGGGTGGGAAGACTCATACTGGGGTATATGGTCTGAAAACCCGCCCATCTACTGAAGCTAAGCAGGGTTGGGCATGGATGGTGCCTGGATGGGGGACTGCCTGGGAACCACACTGCTTGGGGTTTCCTGACAGAAGAATGGCAATAAAATAATTAACTAACCAAAATACAGCCGTCTGGCAGTTTCGTCAAACCAAAAGCAGCCTCCACCAGAAATGGCTTGCATTCAGCATGTACACGGAACAAGATGCTTCTACAACTAAACGTTCTAACTTCTGGGTTTCTTAATCCTGTCGGTGTTGTTGACAAAGAGAAGTGTGCTTTTGCAGTGATGCTTGTGTGTGCTTAAAAACAACAACACTCGTATTTATAGTGACTTAAAAAAAATTACTCAAAGGAAAAAAGGAAAGGAAAGAAAGAGGTGCTGTTTAAGTAGGT